TGGAACAGAGGGAGAGAAGGCAGAGCCTTCCTCCCGGTACCTGCTGGTAGCTATGGCGCGGCTGGGCCGCTGCGCTGTTCCTCTTGCCGCTGCGCCCGCTGTCTCCTGGCTGCTCTCGCTGCTGCAGCGCTGCGCTAATCTGCTTAACGCTTGGCTGCTCCGCTAATCCTCCAGACTAACTCGTACCTACTAACCTCCCTACTGAGGCTGGTACCCAGCCTTTTGTAGTGCTGGGCCGGCCTCTTGCCTACCGGTACCTACTGGCCTGGACCGTTGATCTAGATCAATGGTCCAGTTTCGAAACTGGTTTGGCGCCTAAATTACGTCAGCCTCTGAACTGCTGCCGGTAGGTCCTAGGCTGGACCGGTACCGGCCTTGTGGCCGTTCGGCCTAGGCCTGCCTGAACCGCCGTGGTCCAGGCCCTTTTTAGCCTCATCTGAACCGGTGTCCCCTAGGCTAACCCTGCTTGTCTTGGAACCGGGCCCTAACTGGGGCCCGTGTGGCTCAGTATGCCACAGTCTGTCTGTGCGAGGAGGGGTGGATGGGTGTGTGTGTGGGGGGAGGGGATGGGCCAGGGGTTTCACTGGAGGGGACCAGTTGCACACCCAAAAACAAAAAATTAGAAAAACAATATAATTGTGTCAAGAGACATTGATCTCAAGTTGGACTGAGAGAAAAGGGATTGACAGGTGGGTTGGTTTAGCGTAGTCCGTCATATATGGATGTTTTGTATGTTGGCCGGACAATCCATATTGCACATCAACATTTGAAGGAGCATTGGCATGTGCAACATTCTGCTGCTGATTATCTTCATCGGCATCTCTATCACGTAATGCGACAACAGTCTCCTTTCAATTTTGCTGTTTGGCCGCTTGAATGCATTGATCGTGCGCTCTACATTAATGATCGCGGTGAGATTGATCATGCCCTCTTTTGGCGGGCGGCCGCACCTAGAGAAGGCTTCTGGGTCCGACGGCTGCGTACCGTGCACCCTTCGGGCTTCAGTGCAGTTCTGCCTATGTCTCGATTACTGCCTGCTCGACGGCAGCCACGCCCCGATCGCTGGCGACAAGTTGGTCCTGCCTCTATTGCTTCTCCTCGCCCGTCTCCACCTGTCGTATCCTCTCGGGCCTTTACCATTGATATTAGTCTGGGCCCTCAACTTGCAGTACAAATAACGATACGACTGTTATTGGCGTTAGGCGCAGCGGGTACTTGGTCCGAAGTTGTTGCTTCCATTCAACGGGCTACGCCCGCTTGGTGAGCTCGCTTGCTGCAATGGCTTCATATAAATGTTTCTTATGCTGACATGACTGCGGACGTCCGTGAACTTGAATGCCTTATTCGGCGGTTTCAACATGTCAGACAGCGATATACTGCCCATTCCCGAGACACCCTCGGAAACTTTATCAGGATTGTGCACATGCACGAGATCCTGAAGGCCACTAAGCTACGCCATGTGTTGCATTCTCTGGACGTGTGTGCATTACACCCTGACCCTCAGGCAGCCAGCACTACTCGCATCTGTGACAAACTTGTACCCCCAACAAGGGTGCAATTCTGTAATTTTACTGAAGTTGCCTTGAGTGTCACTCCGGGCCTGTGCCTACCTGCTGCTGCTGATTGTCTTTGTCGTTGGGCCTTTCCTAACTGCACCGATCTGGTTGACGGCCATGTTGTTTCCGCCAACTATGATCTGATTCTGGATGCTAACCTCCGCCGCTTGTTCTATGAGGGCTCTAAATATCGACTGAATGGGGTAGTGGGGGATATACTTCAAGCATTGGCTGTTGGTATTGATGAGTATATTGCTGTGTATCGTCGTTCGACAGCACGACAATCGTGCGTTGCTACCCTAGCTGACAATTGGCTCTTTGGTGTGCCGCAGTTTTGCGTCACTGTGAGTGCAATATGGCTGCCGCATCACCTTTGCGACAGCCTCGCTCTTTGCGACACGCACATACGGCCCCGCGTCAGCTCCAAGAATCCTTTGCAATAGTTCCTGTGGATTAAACTTCACATAATCTGGCTATTTGTTGTAAAAACTGGTATCGTTTTAAGATATCTGCCCATCTTGACAGTCCTACTATTGCATACTCGTGAAACACAGTCATAAGTATGGCGCAGATCCCCAGAACCGACTAGATAATTTAGAGTAAATACAAATACAGCGGAAGACTTGAGATACATGGACTGACTCTGACCTGACTCCGACTGCAATCGAACACTCAATCATTCATCAGGGGTATGAAAGCCCTGTCCTTGGACAAAGATGAAAGGCCAGGGTTTGAGATCATCCACGGACGAATGGAGGGAGGAGAGAGACGAAGAGAGGAGGAGAGGGAAGATGACGTCAACTCAGTGTTCCCAAAGATAGTATCTTGAAATGTCAGAGATGGCGAAAGTCTGAAATGTCGCGAATACAGTGTCCCACAATGTCTCAGATATCGATGTCACAACGTCTTACTTCTCCAAAGGCAGATGAAATCAGATCCCACAAGTAGTCCTCAACCTTTAGTGCCAATGTCGCTGTCTCCAATGTCATCAGAATTTGTAACCATCTTCCATACCTATAGTAGTCCCGTAGGAGAACCCAGGTGTAGACTTAGACTTAG